TGTTTCACAGCCTCGAGAGCTGTTCGGGCTATTCGGAGTTGAAATCAGTTGAATTCGAATGAATTCAGTTCCTGAAGCTGATCCCGTCACGCGGAAGCAAAACGTCGGGCATTGAACTGAACAGCACGCAGCACGACCCGAACGCAGCAGCAAAGCCGTGTAGCCCATGGGCCAAGGCGGTTGGTTGGCACCACTTGGAGTGGTAAGGTCCTCCAGGATCTACCACGGGCAGTGTCCATCATTGGCAGTGTCCACCAAGGGTAGAGATCCCACCGCGTGCTTGATAATCACCATTCCCACGAATTCTCTCTTTCCGTAGAGAATTAAAGTCACGTTCTTTGGGTCTTACCGAAAGACCCCTTAAAACATGAATTCCTGCAGTCACGAAAGCTTTAAGTCAAGAATTAAAGTCGCGTTCAGGTGTTTTCTTCTTCCCCCAAAGCCACTCTCGCTATCAAACACAACATGGTACCCTCCTTTTAAATGACATGTGCTCTCAAAAAGCTGCGAGAAAGTCCCTGCTCTCATGCATATTTGCCATCTCGGGATCAGCCGATTTTCAGCAAATCATTGGTAGCAGTCGCCATCCTAGCTGGTACCGATGAACCAATTTCGGGCCTACGGCTCAACGGCTCACGGCGGCGCGTGCACGCTCTCTCGTTACGCAGATGGACGTCGCCGGCGAGCCTCGGGAAAAGTCGACGACCGCCCTCCGTCCGAGCGACGCTTCGCTCGCTGACAATGCCACCACCACCGCCGCCGCCACCTTCGCGAGCGGCGACTCGACGGCGTTCGGCGACGGGGAGTGTCCGGAGGTGTCGGAGGGCGCCACCTTCGGCACCTCCGGCCTCTCGCTCAGCGCGCCCCCGGAGCGTGTCGAAGGGGCCCCGCGGTGTGCGCGCGACGGCGCGGGGGGCGCCTTCGCCGAGTCTCGCGGCGATGCGCTCGAGTCGCTTGGGTGGGAGACGTCGTCGGCGGGGCCGCCCGATTCCCGCTCCGTCACGGAAAACTCGCCGAGGCCACCTGCCCGAGCGGCAGATTCGCCACGATTGCCACGGCCGGCGACGCGTTGTCAACCGAAGTCTCGCGAGAACGGCGCTGCTGCTGCCGCCGCTGCTGCTGCTGCCGTTGCTGGTTCAGGTCACAGGTCACCGTGCGGTGATAGCCGCAAGCCCGATCATCGTGCCACCACTCCTGGCTGTGGCAGCGGTGCCGAGTACGCGCGGAGGCCGTGAGTGATGAGACGCAGATTCAATTGTGAACTGAACGGTTTTATTTATCAGCTATTAGCTCTTTTTCAGAAGCGACCTGGTCACAAATGATAACTCAATGGAGTAATTTTCAGCGCGCGGGAATGTATAGCAGCCAGATACTCTAAACGCATGTTCTTAAATGTGGAGGGGGAAAAGTGGATGACCCGGGGAAAACCCCACACGATCACGGCCAGAGAGAGAGAGAGACACGGAAACTCCAAATATACAGCAGCAGGCGTTAGGGTCGGGATGGAACGCACGATCTCCTGTAGACCTGGCGAGGTAGTTAACATATCCTAGCAACCGTGATGATGATGATGATGAGAAAGACACTCAAACTCCAAATATACAGCAGCAGGCGTCAGGGTCGGGGTCAAACCCCACGACCTGCGTACCAGACGAGGTAGTTAACATCTCCTAGCCACCGTGATGATGATGATGATGAGAGAGAGACACGCAAACTCCAAATATAAAGCAGCAGGCGTCAGGATCGGGATTGAACCCACGACCTCCTGTATACCAGGCGAGGTAGATAACATCTCACCACCGGGGTCCGTGCTCGCCAGGCACTGTAAGGCACGGGGCTGTGAGGTGTAGCCTCGGATAGTGGCGGTACAGGTATGGATTAGTACACACAATGGACAGGAAGGACAAGATCAATGGGTTCGCATAATGTGCATACATAATGCACGCTCCCTCATTAACCCCCTCCACTCCCCACTTTGCACAAGAAGAGCGCAGAAGCGTGGTCACCACATTTACGCATCTACGTAAGGAACGAAACAGGTGGACTTCTCCACAAATCTGTCTGTCGCCTGACGAAGCTGGTTGTAATTACTGGCGAAGCGTCGTACTCAGATTGTAAATGTTGTGGCTTGGCTCACCAACACACCGGTGTGCTGTACTAGTATACTACACAATACACTGCACTACTTTACACTACACTACTACACACTACACTATACACTGCACTACTACACACTACACTATACACTACACTATACACTAGTGCTGTACTAGTGACGAATTGGCCACGTTCTGTTTACTTGACAACTTTTCCTAGTTGGCCGTGTCGGGTGGTGGCGGGTTTACCGACACATTTATATATTCACGCAATCTAAGCCCCCAAAAAAAACCTCCATTATGGAGGTATGGATTCTTAATTCTATCCGTGCGGAGCTTTGAGTGTTACCCAACACCCCTCCGTCACACGTGGTCGGGTTTCTCCGTGCGTTGCCGATTTGCCTCCCACGCGATGGACAAACATCCCATGAATGGAATTCGTCGACAAACATCCCTGAATGCAGCGGCGAGGACGACTCGGCGATGCTTTTGTAGTTAGATAATAAAACGACGTGGAACTCATCATTAGACCTCCTTTGCCAGTACCAAAATATAATAATAAGGGTTTTTCCCCTTTTTTCTGGCAACAAAACTGAAACCTATTTTTACAAGGATTCATGTCTGCATTAACCACAATACCTGCAGTCAAAATGCAAACAAAAAACATACTATGATAATATATGATGCCTTGTCCTTGAAACTGATTGGTCCACACCAAGGGACGACTTTCTTTTGAGCCTCGACCCAATTGGTGCTTGACCAGATGACGCCAAAAGGCGTCACACAGCTCAAAGACAATGCACTGTCAAAGTAAAGAGGGCCCTCATTACTCGGGCCCTCATTACTTTGATAGTGCATTGTCTTTGAGCTGTGTGACGCCTTTTGGCGTCATCTGGTCGAGCACCAATTGCGTCGAGGCTCAAAAGAAAGCCGTCCCTTGGTGTGGACCAATCAGTTTCAAGGACAATGCATCATATATTATCATAGTATGTTTTTTGTTTGCATTTTGACTGCAGGTATTGCGGTTAATGCAGACATGAATCCTCGTAAAAAGGTTTCAGTTTTGTTGCCAGAAAAAAGGGGAAAAAAAGACGTGGAACTCATTCATTTGCAAGGCAATGTGCGGTGAGTTTTCACAATGGCGACTCGCAGCGCTGATGCCAATCCATCGCTGGATGGAAGAAGGCCCGCCCGTGCGTGCCAAGGTCAGTCCTGGGGGTCATTTGAACCATACTTCACCACGGTGGTCGCTGAGGGTTCCTGAAGGGGGGTAATGCAGTCGAGGACCCGTTCAGGATATCACTTGCCACTGCAGTTTAAACCCCTGGATGAGAATTCAAACTGCGATGGAAGTTCACGGGACGAGTGACCGTAGCGGCGCGATAGAAGAGACGCTCTGTAAATTGACATTACCCTTCTTCCTCTTACTTTGTAGGGCTTTAGTTTGCTGTCCCCGCGCACCTCCGATTAGAACGGTTGGCTACGTACGGTGCGAAAGAAGTTCAACACAGATACGTACATATTGTGATTGCTATTCGAGTTATCGCTGCTGCTGCTGCTGCCGCTGCTCTTCTCTATCTCCCGCCCAGGGCGCCTCCCGCCGAGTCAGCGAGGGACTCGGAGTTTCATGGGGCACGGTCGGGCTCGGTGTGCTTCCGCGGGGAGCCGCTCCGCCTGGAGCCCCGGGGCCTGGAGCTGCTCAGGGTGGAGTTGGACACCGCCCATGCGCACAACGAGGCTGTGAGTGTCCGCACGATCGTCTGCGTCATCGTCACCATCACCATAATCACTGTGATCATGTGCATTGCCATGGCTATCATCAGCATCACTTTCTGTGATCATTTTTCATTGCCATCACTATCATCATCATCACTGTGATCACCTTCAATGTCATCACTATAATCATCATCATCATCACTACTGTGATCATCTTCATTGTCATCATCATCACTACTGTGATCACCTTCATTGTCATCACTATCATCATCACTGTGATCATCTTCATCACTATCATTATCTTCACTACTGTGATCACCTTCATTGTCATCACTATCATCATCATCATCATCACTACTGTGATCATCTTCATTGCCATCATCATCACTACTGTGATCACCTTCATTGCCATCACTATCATCATCACTACTGCGATCACCTCCATTGCCATCACTATCATAACCACTGTGATCATCTTCATTGCCATCACTATCATCATCGCTACTGTGATTATCTTCATTGCCATCATCATCACTACTGTGATCACCTTTCATTGCCATCACTATCATCATCACTACTGTGATCACCTTCATTGCCATCACTATCATCATCACTACTGTGATCACCTTTCATTGCCATCACTATCATCATCACTGTGATCATCTTCATTGCCATCACTATCATCATCACTGTGATCATCTTCATTGCCATCACTATCATCATCACTGTGATCATCTTTATCGCCTCTAGCATTGCGGCGCAGGGAGTATCTGTGCAGAGCAAGAATTCTGTATTCAGCAGGGTGCTGCTGCTGTCACCGTGAGTAGCAGGGAGTCTGTGCATGGGGTTGGGAGTGTGTGTGTCGAGCAGTATATGTAGGTGTGTGTGTGTGTGGGGAGCGGTAGTGTAGCGGTTAGCGCGCTGCGCTACGAACCTGGCGACCCGGAGTTCGATTCCTGCTCACGGCCACCACCAGTGACGATAATTTGAACCGGTCCCGGGCCTCCTCTAGGTCGACTCAGCCTCAAATGAGTATCTGGTGCGATGTGTAGTAAACATCGCCACTGGGGAGACAAAGGCGTCCGGGCGTGGTGTTGACCACTCACCCCCTCGTGCGGCGCGCCGACCTTCATAGGTGCTGCGCGCTCACGGCACTTTCCCCAAACATTCTGCCGAGGCTATAACGGGGGATCTTTATCCTTGTTTTGTGTATCGAGCGGGCTGCCGCTGCCGCTGCCGCCTTCTTCTGTGAGCAGCTCCAGGAGAGGTTGCGGGAGACGGACGAGGAGTTATCGGCGTCGCGCCTCGGCCTGGAGCTCGAGGTCAAGCAGATGGAGGCGAGGGTGGCCGAGAAGGCTGCAGGTGACGCGCCGCCTCCGTGCGTGATTGCGCTGGGGGGGTGGGGGAGCGGTTGTGCAGTGGCTGCTTCTGTTTTTATTTTAACCACGCAAGGTCCCCCAACTAGAGCGACGTAGCTCTGCTTCAGGACCGACCCGGCTGTCACAAATGACAGCCCGACGAAGCGGTGGCTTGTCGCGTGCGATTTCGCAGCAGCCAATTGCTCTGAACGCGCGATATCCGTTGCTAAATGTGGAGGGACAAACCGGAGGACCCGGGGAATAATCCACGCGAACCCGGGGAGAGACAGAGACGTCAACTCCAAATATAACGCAGGCATCGTCAGGGTCGGGTTCGAACCTCCTGTATAGCAGGCGAGGTCGTTAACATCTCGATGTAGACTCCAAATATAGAGACCTTACGGTTGGGATCGAACCCAAGACCTCCTGTATACCTGGCGAGGTTGTTAACATCGCCTAGCCACCACGGGGCGCTGCTGCTATGCAACCTGCCCAGCCCGAGTCCAGATTCCCGCTCACAGCCTGGACTTCCCCGTAGGTCGATTCGGCCTCAAATTAGCACGTGATGCGATGTGTGACCATCGTCACTATGGGGAGACAAAGGCGGCCGGGAGTGGTGTTGGCTACCCACCACCACCCTCGTGTGCCCCCCCTGTCGGGTGGGTAGGTGGCCTTCAATGAATATTTGGTGCGGTTTGAAATACACCAGCACTGGGGAGACAAAGGCGGCCGAGCGTGGTGCTGGCCACACCACTCGTACTAGATGCTTGCCAAGAGCCCTTAGCCCTAACACTCGTGCAGGCTAAATGAAGATTGAAAACGCATTTCTTTAAAACTGCTTTTAAAGTGTCTAGTTCGTTTCCGTTCCCTCGCACCTACGATTCGCACGGTCGGTCACGTACGGTACGAAGGAAGTTCAACGTGCGTGCGTGTGCACGTGACACCCCCCCCCCCCGCCGCCCCCCCCCCCCCCCCCCACCACCACCGTGGAGGAGATGGAGCTATGAAATCAGCTCACGCACCACATTGTTACATCACGTGATCGCCAGAGGTTGCAGTGGCAGCTTGGGAAGACGGTTGGGGGGGGGGGGTAGGCTTCATCCAGCAGCGGATTTACCATGACTAATGATGATGTTGATTTCACCATGGCTAATGTTGATGGTAATTACACCATGGCTAATGATGGTGGTAATTACACCATGGCTAATGATGGTGTTGATTACACCATGGCTAATGATGATGTTGATTTCACCATGGCTAATGTTGATGGTAATTACACCATGGCTAATGATGGTGGTAATTACACCATGGCTAATGATGGTGGTGATTACACCATGGCTAATGATGATGTTGATTTCACCATGGCTAATGTTGATGGTAATTACACCATGGCTAATGATGGTGGTAATTACACCATGGCTAATGATGATGGTGATTACACCATGGCTAATTATGGTGGTAATTACACCATGGCTAATGTTGATGGTAATTACACCATGGCTAATGATGGTGGTAATTACACCATGGCAAATGATGGTGGTAATTACACCATGGCTAATGATGGTGGTGATTACACCATGGCTCATGATGATGGTAATTGCACCATGGCTAATGATGATGGTGATTACACCATGGCTAATTATGGTGGTAATTACACCATGGCTAATGATGATGGTGATTACACCATGGCTAATGATGGTGGTGATTACACCATGGCTCATGATGATGGTAATTGCACCATGGCTAATGATGATGGTGATTACACCATGGCTAATTATGGTGGTAATTACACCATGGCTAATGATGATGGTAATCACACCATGGCTAATGATGGTGGCAATTACACCATGGCTAATGATGATGGTAATTGCACCATGGCTCATGATGATGGTAAATATACACCGTTTCTGCATTCGCACGTGTTCACCTATCGTCGATCTTGTAAGTCGTGCGCGGCATCTCTACCAAAGCCGGCCGGATCATCCTCATCATTGTGAAAGACCCGACCCTGGGGTTCGATCCTCCACGAAGCTCGTGGTCCGCCCCAGACCGCATCCACGACACAAACCACGGCAGCGGTCGATACGGATAGCCCTGATGCGCAAATGGAACGTTCAAAACTCTCCGGCATTGCGCGACTGTGGTCATCCACAGCAGATGACCACGCAATCGTAACGGTCGCAATGCCCCCGAACCACAGAATACGACGAAGGTGACATCATAGCGGCGATTCAACGCCACCCCTCCCGTGCACACCACGCCCGTTATCTGCTGGGCTTGACCAAAATGAATACTGAAATTGCTGTCGTTGTCTCGACATCTACCATCAACAGACCATGGCAGAGAAGATTATTATTATTATTATTCCTGGCACCATCTGGTCGAATCCAATGCTGTCTGCCCCCTCCCCTCTCTCTCTCTCTCTCTCCCTCCACGGCGCTAACCATCGCCTCTCTGCCGTGACACCAATGGCCCTGTCTTTGTTTGCACAACACCGCCATGCGTATTCACAGCCTCTCTCCCCGCCTCGTCTCCCAATTCCTCTTTTCTCTCCGATGGGAGTCCAACACACACACACACGGACACACACACACACACACCGTACCGAGAGAGCGATGAGAGGAGCGAGAGGGAGAAAGTGAGAGCGAGCGAAGCACACAGAGAGATCTACAATTAGACCCCCCCCCCCATCCATCCCACACCGCAAACCCCCCTCTCCCCCCCCCCCCCCCACCAAGGCTCCGATCACTTCCCCACACCCACATTTCAAATGTTTGTTTGTGCACTGGCTAGGATCCAAATTACCAGAGCCGGCCGGGTGAGCGCACAGGTGAGCCAGAATAGCTCGGTCGAATCTTTCCATCCAATCATCACCCCGGATCCATCCCATCCATCCCTCCCGGCGACTGCCAGTGGCGGGATCGACCGCACGCACACAGAGAGAGAGGAGAGAGTCCCCGTGGGGAGAGAGTGCAGGGTTTTAGCGAAATCGCCTATTAATGCCTCTCGCTCCGCCGCCACTTGTGATGCCGACCCGGTCGGGATACAATGTGTGTGGGTACGTGGCGCACTGCGACACTTGGGTGTTAACCCTGACGCCTGCTGCTGTATATTTGGAGTTTGCGGTGTCTCTCTCGCTCTCCCCGTGTTCACGTGGAATTTGTTTTTTTCCGGGTTCCTTCGGTTTTTTCCATCCACATTTAGAATGGACATCACCGCGTTTCGAGTCAAAAGGCCTCTATACATTTCCACGTGATAAGCCACTTCGTTGAGCTTTCATTTGTAGCGTGCTCGCTTCTGAACAATAGCTCAATGTAGCTCGGGGGGGGGGGGGGCTTATCTGGTAAAATAAAAATAGGTCGTTTCCAATGTTTTTGTGCGTGGACTTTTCGTGGAATGCCACGCTAATAGGTGGCACACACTGCATCTCAACTAAAGCTTGTGTTTACCAGGTAAGGCCAACTGAGCTTTATAGCTCGTTTTCAGTAGCAACCTGGCCACAAATGATAGCTAAACGAAGTGGCTTATCATCATGTCGAAATCTAAAGCCGTAACCGAATACTCTAAACGCACGTTGGTTCTAAATGTGGAGGGAAAACCCGGAGGACCTGGAGAAAAAAAAATGCACGCGACCATGGAGAGAGAAACATGGCAACTCAAAATTTCGAGGCGTCAGGGTCGGGATCAAACCCATGACCTCCCGTATATCAGGCGATGTAGTTAACATCACACACACGCACCCTCTCAAATGAACGCACGTGGGTTGAGTTATCGGTTAAGGTGCAGTCCTGCCATTGTCTTGCCAATGCTATTGATGGCGGAAGGGCCATCGACGCAAAGGGATCTCGAGCTAATGCTGATGGCGCTGCTGCTGCTCCTGTTGCTGCTACCGCTGCTGTTGCTGCTGATGCTGCTGTTGCTGCTGCTGTTGCTGCTACTGCTGCTGCTCCTGTTGCTGCTGCTGCTCCTGTTGCTGCTGCTCCTGCTGTTGCTGCTGATGCTGTTGCTGCTGATGCTGCCGATGCTGCTGTTGCTGCTGTCTCCTGTTGCTGCTGCTGCTGTTGCTGCTGCTCCTGTTGTTGTTGCTGCTGCTCCTGTTGCTGCTGCTCCTGCTGTTGCTACTGCTTCTGTTGCTGCTGTTGCTGCTGCTCCTGTTGCTGCTGCTGCTGCTCCTGCTGCTGCTGCTCCTGCTGTTGCTGCTGCTGTTGCTGCTGCTACTGCTGCTGCTGCTCCTGTTGCTGCTGATCCTGTTGCTGCTGCTCCTGCTGTTGCTGTTGCTACTGCTGCTGCTACTGCTGCTGCTGCTCCTGTTGCTGCTGATGCTGATGCTGCTGCTGCTTCTGTTGCTGCTGATGCTGCTGTTTCTGCTGCTCCTGCTGTTGCTGCTGCCAGTGCTGGTGGACGAGATCCTGGTGGCGCAGCGGCAGAGAGACGACGCGATGCTGTCGCGGGTTCACACGGCCGAGGAGGAGAGGGAGGCGGCTGTGGAGAGGGCCCGTCGCTTGGAGAAAGAACAGGCGGAGTGGGTGACGAACGCGCACACACGCACACAAAGACAAAGATGCCCCGTGTAGCCTGAACAGACTGCCGAGGCAAGTGCTGTTAGCGAGCGCCTATGAAAGCCGGCACGGCACACGAGGGGGTGGGTGGTCAGCATAACGCCCGGCCGCCTTTGTCTCCCCAGTGGCAATGTTTACACACACTGCACCAGGTACTCATTTGAGGCTGGGTCGACCTAGGGGAGGCCCAGGACCGGTTCCGATAATTGTCACCGGTGTTGGCCGTGAGCAGGAATCGAACTCGGGTCGCCGGGTGTCGTAGCGCAGCGCAGCGCTAACCCCATGGCTGCCGCTACACTACCGGCTCAAAAAAAGGCAAAGATCCCCCGTGTAGCCTTAACAGACTTTCGGGGCAAGTGTGATGTTAGCGAGCACCTATGAAGGCCGGAACGGCACACGACTCACACACACACACGCACGCACGCGCGGTCACAAACCATCAGCCGGGGTAGTGACGCACCCGAACGGCAGCGCGTTATCTGATTGCCTGCTGAGGATGTTTGTGGTTCGGCTCCAGCGGCCGCCCTGGTGCAATTTCCATGAACTATTACTACCGAGCGGCAGCGCTGTGAGTCTATTAACCATACGATATTCACACTACTGCGAGGTGCCGTCTGCTTGACGGATTGGCAAACACGTGTTTAAAATGTTGCATGGATTGTTGGGTGATAACTGCGTTGGGCAGTGGGGCAAGAGCGCAACTAACAAGAACCTTGTACGCATCAATCAACGTGTGTTGTCTTATGAATTAGAGCCATTGCCCGAAACGTCGCCTGTTATACATGTGTATTTTTTTCTTCTTCTTAAAGACCGACAAGTGCCACTGACGAGCGTGCCGAGTTGCTAATGACGCGTCACTATTTGATGCACGTTTATGCAGTATTGTCCTGTGCCGCGGTTGATAGTTGCGTTACGGGAAAATCGCCCTATAATAAGTAACATCGGAGTAAAACACAATCCGCGATAACACCGTGAGATGGGGACGACGCAGGCCCAACAAAGACCGAGGCACGTGGGTCGCATCTAGAAGCATCCAGCAGCATCCCAATGCATTGCGTGATGACGCGGCGTCGAGGCAGCCGTACGACCGGTTACTCATACTCGCGCGACGTAGTTCTCTGTTCACTCGGTCGCGTTAATATCCAATTCGCATCTGCGTTGTAACGGAAGAAAAACGTGTTCCCTAATACGTTAATCGCCATATATCCAATTCGTGTTATCAAAACAACACGCTGCGTCTTAGGAGAACGGAGTGTAACGTCAAACCTCTTCATTCGCGGATTTTCATTTCGCGAAATTTCATTATTCGCTATTTTATATCCTCGTGAAAGGTAAATAAAACTTCCAAATTTACTGTTTAAGGTATTGATGTGTTTTTTGTTGTTGCTGCATTTGTGTTATTGTCTATTTGTATGTATTGTACAATTTCATTATTATGTGGATGTTATTCACGTGTACAGCGCAGGATTCATGTTACGAAACATGTATTTTTTCCTCCCGTTGTGTGCAGTGTGACACGGCAAACCGAATGTAAACATCGTATCGATTACATTTGCTCATTCCATTTCTCTTTTTCAGGATATTTGATTACAATTGTGAGCAAGTAGACTTGGTAAGTTTCATTGTGTAGGGCTCGTTTCTTATACCGTGCGCACTTTACACAACACGACGACTTACCGAACATCCCCCCCTCCACTCTCCCGAGCAGATTAATTACAGAATGCCAAGAGTGCTGGAAAAAAGTGCAGCCCTGACATTGCTCACTCGCTCCACCGCTGACAGACGGGGCCTCCACTAGGGGGAAGATGTAGAGAGCTCCTCGAGCGAATATTTGGCCTACTCTTCCACGCCAGCCAGACGTCTTGGAGGATGTAGAAGCACCCACACGTTTACCCCCATGCCATGCTACTGCAGGCAACGTAGCCCAGGCTATGGAGTAAACCCACCCCAGTTTGCGATCCTTCAACGGAGGAGGAGGTACAGCGAACTCGGAATAGAGATTCTGGATAATAATGTTGCAGGCATCATCGTGCGCAATGATATCATCTGTTCATGTTTTACCGGTTGCGAGAGATCGCCAGTTCTCTTCCCGGTGATTATGCCTCTGTGACAACAATGTTCTCCGTGTGACGCATTGTTCGACTCTGTAGAGCAGGGGTGGGAAACGTCGGGCCCGCGGGCTGTACAAGACCCGCGAAATCATTTGGGTCTCTGGCCCTGCCAAGGCAACCGCAGGCGGGACTCGAAATTAATTAAATCTAGGAGCAAAACCTGGAAAAGCAGTTGCGAGTAGCAGCAACATCGTCAATACCGGCTAACATCATCACCACGCCTCGCCAAAGAAAAGCAGTTCCAGCCCATCGCATTAGGGGCGAGTTGATCAAAAGGTTGACCAAATATAACGGGATATTTTTTTTAAGTTGATCATTTTGTATGGCCCGCGAATGATGTTATAAATATCCCAATGGCCCTTTACAGAAAAAAAGGTTCTCCGTCCCTGGTGGAGAGCAAGCGGTAAATGTCGAGGGAGTCTCTCTCAAGTCTCGGTGGCTTCAATTGAACAGCAAAAGCGAATGATGCAGAGGAGGAGTAGGAAGAGCGAAAACGACACGAACGAACTCTGATGAAGTCCTCTCGTCGTGGCCAGCAATAGCAGACCTCGACATTGGCATCGAGCTCCTGGACACCGTGCTGCTGATGCCATCATCGTGCACACAAACAGAATAGAAATCCCCACACACACGTGAACCTGCCAATGGAGGAATTGCAGTGTGGTGAACCAATTCACGCTGCCAGGTGGACAGAGGCGTAAAGATTTAAGAAACTTGACCCCCATCGTTTCGACTTCCTCGCCGGGAAATGGAATTGAACCTCATTTCTATTGATCAGTTTTTTGTGTTTAGTTTGTCGTCATTCCCCCGGAACCTCCAATTAAGCACAGCACGGTGATGGGAAAGAAGTTCATACACAAAGATAAAGACAAAGACAAAGATCCCCCATATAGCCTTAACAGACTGTAGGGGCAAGTGCTGTTAGCGAGCACATATGAGGGCCGGAACGGTAAACGAGGGGGCGGGTGGCCAGCACCCACGCACGACCGCCTTTGTCTCCCCAGTGGCAATGTTTTTTATCCACCGCACCAGGTACTCATTTGAGGTTGAGTCGACCTAGGGGAGGCCCAGGACCGGTTCAGATAATCGTCACTGGTGTTGGCCGTGAGCGGGAATCGAACCCGGGTTTGCCAGGTTCATAGCGCAGCGCGCTAACCGCTACACTACCGCTCCCCATATACACATACACACACACATATATACACATACATAGACAACAACAACAACAACGGCCATTCGCATGCATGTGTGCACGCACACACACGCACGTGTGCACTGAACACACGCACGCACGCACGTGTGCACATACGGACGTGCGCACGCACACACCCATGCACGTGTGCACGCATGCACGTGTGCACGCATGCGCGCGCGCGCAGGCCGTGGAGGAGTTACTGGAGGGCGTCCGGGAGGCGAGCTCCGGCCGCGACATCGAGCGCTACGGAGCGGCCCTGGTGAGCCGCATCCGCAAGGGGCAGGCGCGACGCGACCGCATCACGGCGGAGGAGATGCGAGCCGTCGTGGCCGAGCGAGACGACGCCATCGCCCGGGTCAGCGCCGCTACGCGAGGACCGCGAAAAACGGCCGATTGGCCGCGAAGGGGCCCCGCGTGTCGAGCGAGTCGCTCTTCTCGAAACGGCGCGCGGCTCATTTCGTCGCCTGCCCGAGCGCTCCGTCCGCATCTCGAGCGAGCAGCGCCGCGCGAAAGGGTCGTAACGATCAAAGCCCAAAGAGTCGCGAAATGATGCTGCTGCTGCTGCTGATGCTGATGCTGTTGTTGTTGTTACGCGGCGCAAAAAAAAAAAGGTTAATCAAACCGCAAAAGCCACTGAGCAGGTTCGACGCCGGAACGCCGAAATCTGTCTCGGCGCCACCGCTTGCTCAGGTGTGCGATCGACTGAACACACGCGAGCGGTGTACAGACAAACGTGCTCGCTGTCCACCCGTTTGTCGCCCGGGTCTCGCACACAGTCCACATAGGGGAGCCGGGGGATGGGGGGGGGTACGAATGTTGGTGAATATTCCCTCCCGGGGATTCGAGCGTCTCGCTGGGTTAGCCCCACAATGTCGGCAGGAACCGAATCCGCGTTGACTCTCCAACGAGGTCCCTGAGATCTTTGGATCGCCTTCTACTTATAGTCCTGTCAGGTCAAGGATCGTTGCCTGGGGCGATGGAGCTATTTGCAAGCGTAGCTCCCAAGCTTTGGAACGCTTTGCTGCTGAGACAATTGGAATCGTTAATATCTATCTATATATTTAAGTCTGTCTTGAAAATTCACATCTTTAAACTGACCTGTACCCCCCCTCCCCAGCTCTGGGCGTATATGCCCCACGGGTTCTGTGTGTTTCCCGGCTATCCGCACGCGTGGCACGAAAGGATCTACAAAACTAAACGCGCCACTTTACATAGTGCGCTTCTGCTGCCGTCTGGAACGCTCTTCTGGAGCTGTGCACGCATATTGACAAACCCATTTCTTGAGAACTGCTTTTTCGTGTTAAGATTGTTTTTTTCTTCTTACCCCGCACCTCCGATCAGTACGGTGCTAAATAAGTGCAGCATGCGCACGTAATAATTGAAACGTGTAATTTCATGTTTCATTATTTCGCTCAAGTATTGATTTATGTATCCAGGAGAGCCGCACAGATTCGCGTGACCCACGTGCACGAGGGTCTTGTCGCTGATACATTGACTTTTTATTCGTAAGATATTTTTTGAGCCAATTAATTATGAGTAGAGTTGTGTGCCATTATTATTCAAGTGTGGAGGAAACCCAAGCAGCCGGAGAAAACCCACGCCTTGTGCGAGAGGGGACAATATTCAAACCCTTTACAGATGGAAACACGTGGCAATAACTCTTTGGTTCTTTCGGTCAAGTCACGCAGGGAAAAAATAAATTAAATAATAGAATACGACGTTTCGATTGCAACACAAGCAACCGTCGTCAGGTAGAACTAAATTTGAGAGAGAGACAAAACACGGACACGGAGACACACAGACAGACACACGCAGAGAGAGAGACAACACAGACACACAGAGAGAGACAACACAGAGACACAAGCAGAGAGAGACAACACAGACACACAAGCAGAGAGAGACAACACAGACACACAAGCAGAGAGAGACAACACAGACACACAAGCAGGGAGAGACAACACAGACACACAAGCAGAGAGAGACAACACAGAGACATAAGCAGAGAGACAACACAGACACACAGGAAGAGAGAGACAACACAGACACACAAGCAGAGAGAGACAACACAGACACACAAGCAGAGAGAGACAACACAGAGACATAAGCAGAGAGACAACACAGACACACAAGCAGAGAGAGACAACACAGACACACACAGAGAGACAACACAGACACACAAGCAGAGAGAGACAACACAGACACAGAGAGAGAGCCAACACAGACACACAAGCAGAGACAGACAACACAGACACACAGGGAGAGAGAGACAACACAGACACACAGAAAGAGACACAGACACACAAGCAGAGAGAGACACACAGACACGCAAGCAGGGAGAGACAACACAGACACACAAGCAGAGAGAGACAACACAGACACACAAGCAGAGAGAGACAACACAGACACACAGAGAGACAACACAGACACACAAGCAGAGAGAGACAACACAGACACACAAGCAGAGAGAGACAACACAGACACACAGAGAGAGACAACACATACACACAAGCAGAGAGAGACAACACAGACACACAGGGAGAGAGAGACAACACAGACACACAAGCAGAGAGACACACAACATAGACACACAGAGACGTTGTCTATGTTGCGTGTCTCTCTCTCTGTGTGTCTCTGTGTTTTGTCTCTCTCTCAAATTTAGTTCTGGCTGATGACGGTTACGTATGTTGCAATCGAAACGTCGTATTCTATCATTTAATTTAATTTCTTTCTACGTGACTTCACCGAAAGAACTAAAGTGTAATTCCTGCAGTCACGAAAGTTTCAAATCTAGTTTTGTTTTTTTACGTGGCAATTAGTCTGCATACATGGAGTATTATTATTATAATGCACAGGACCACGCGCCTCGATCACACGCGTCGCGTCTCGCGTTTCTCTCGCAGTGCAAAAAGCTCGACCACGAGTTGAGCCGGGCGAAGGAGGAGCTTAGCGCCCGCGGCTCCTCGGGGCGGACGAACGACCCAGAGCAGGAGATGAAGGCAAGTGGCTGGGAGCGGGCAGTAGGCGGGCGGCAGTGGTAGAGGTGGTCACGCAAGCACGTGACCATCAATCTTCATCATCGTCGTCATCATCATCATATTCACCAGCGGTTTTGACCGATAGCTCTCCGCTGCGTGAATATAAATGCGTCGTTGAAACCCGGCACCACCCGACACAGCCAATTAAGTAAAGTTTGTCACACGAACGAAACGCAACAATTATTTGCTACTTCAACACACCACTGTGTGTTGGAGAGTAAACCCACAACATAAACAATTTGAGTACTCTCGCGTTTCGCTGGTGGTTACAGCCAGCTTCTCATCAGGCGATTTGCCAGAATTGTGAATAAGCACTTCCTGTTTCTCGGTCTTAAATAGAGTGGGGGGGGGGGGGGTGGCGGGAAGGAAAAAAAACCCAATCTTCATTATGGATAATATTGGTCGCGAAAGCCCTTACGTGCTAAACTCTCCACGCAGCCCTGCGAACGACACGGCACACAGACGTGGGCCCATCGCAGTGCGGCGCTCTGCTGCCCACGCTGCCCTCTGCTACACCCGCGACCCTAGCGTAGCACCGCCGGCAAACCTGGCACGCGTGCACAGTGGCCGCCCATCCAAGCGTCGGCCACGCTCGACCCGCTGCTCAGCTTCGCCGATGTCCGTTGAGCTCCGATTGTGGCCCATCAGCTTCGTACATGCTCGCAGACGCGCAACGTCAGAGTGAGATTGTGATTGCGGCCAGCTGGTCCAGGGGTCATGCAGGTATTTTATGAATGTACGTACCCTATGTTGAACGTCTTTCGCGCCGTACGTAGCCAACCGTGGTTAATCGGAGGTGCGTGTGGAAGGACAGCAAGGTAAGCACAACATGCAGTTGTAAGGAAACGCGTTTGTTGTTTTGGCTAATACGGGTGACATTGAGTGGGGGGGGGGGGGTTTCTTTTATTCATGGGAAGAAACCGGAGAACCCGGAGGGAAACCCATGCGGAACGAGGTGGGGGGGGGGGAGGGTGGCTGGAGAGGAGACCAACTCCACATAGAGAGGCACCCGTGTTGGGAATCGGGCTCAGGCGTTTTTTGCTGTAAGGCCCGCGCGTTACCACTGCAAATGCCGCCAGCCGCTCGCTCGCCGCTCCTGAGCTAAAACCAAACTCGCCAACGTGCGCTGCTCTCGATGGGACAGGCACACCATATTTGATTTGCGACAACAAAGCAGTAGCAGCAGCAAACAACAACAAACCGCTAACTTGGCGAGGACAAGAAGTAAGACAATAACAATTGAACCAAATTCTGCGACAATCACGGCCGCGATGGAGGGGGGGGGGACAATCGGAGGGGGAGCGATGGGCCCAGCAGGAGGGCCCCAAAGCGCGACCACTTTCACCGCCTTGAATATGTTCGGCATCCTTGCGCGCGCATCCCCTCAATCAAAAGCGAGGAGGAGGAGGAGGATAAATGGATAATAGGGG